TAGCACCTCATGTATTATCCTGGATGGAGCTGGAGCCCATTCTTCTAAGTGAAGTATCACAAGAATGGAAAACCAAGCCCCACATGTACTCACCATTAAATTGGCATTAATTGATCAACACTTATGTGCACATATGGAAGTAACATTCATAGGGCATCGGGCAGGTGGGAGTGGGGAGAAGGGCATGGGTAAATTCACACCTAATGGGTACAGTGCACACTTTCTGGGGGATGGGTATGCTTGTAGCTTTGACTCAGGCAGTGCAAAGGCAATATATGCAACCAAAGTGTTTGTACCCCTGTAATATTCTGAACTTAAATAAATAGAGTATTATGGTTTACATATGTGTATGTACGTATAATTGATCATTGAACAACATGAGCTTAAACTGAGAGTGTTCTCTTATACTTGAATTTTTTTCCACTTCTGCCACCCCTGACACAGCAAGACCTATGCTACTCCCCTTCCTCCTCCTTCTCAGCCTCTCAATATGAAGATTGTAAGGATAAAGACCTTTATAATGACCTACTTCCATTTAATGAACAAGTAAATATGTTTTTTCTTTCTTATGATTTTCTTAACAACATTTTCTTTTCTCTAGCTTACTTTATTGTAAAAATACATATAACATATAAAATATGTGTTAATTGACTATCTTATCAGTAAGGCTTCCAGTCATCAGTAGGTTATTAGTAGTTGAGTTTTTGGATAGTAAAAAGTTATATGTGATCCCTGTCTGTACAGAAAATAGAAAAATTAGCCAGGTATGTATGGTGGCACATGCCTGTAGTCCCAGTTACTCAGGAAGCTGAGGCAGGAGGACACTGGAGCCCAGAAGTTTGAAATTGCAGTGAGCTATAATGATGCCACTGCACTCTAGCCCTGTCTCAAAAAAAAAAAAAAAAAGTTATATGTGGATTTTTCAACTGCATGGGAGTTGGTGCCCCTAAACCCCATATGCCCATGTTGTTCAAGAGTCAAATGTATGCATACACACACACACACACAAAGACAGCTATATGGGTGGGCGCATGTATACACATAATTATTTCATTATATATAGCATATAACACATATAGTAGCTTATTTTCTTCATTGTAAATTAAAAATAATCACTTTGACATTTTGAGTTAAATAAAAAATAAAAGCCATGCATGTTGTTTTCAGTTAGGAAAATTTATTGCATAAGAAACATAGTCATCTCATAGACATAAGAGCACAAAGAAGAGATATTAGGGAATATGAAGCAAATAATTTTGGAATGATAAATATTCCTTAAATCTTAGATGCTAAATGCTTTTGTTCTTAGCTTGGTCCAGGGTGATATTTTCTGTTTGAATTATTGCAGTTAAATTTGGGTAATCTTCTCATGGCCTCAGATATTGGGCTCCCAGGGCAGGATATTCAGTAAAAGCTAGAGAATCCATACCCTCCATAGCATGATGGGCGGTAGCACCCGTATCCGTAGCCTCCAAACCCAGAGCCGTAGCCTCCGTAGCCACAGCCGTAGCCCAGCCTGCGGAAGTTGCCGCATCCACAGCCATAGCCATAGCCCAGGCCTCCGAAGGCTCCATAGCCGTAGCCCAGGCCTCCATAGTAGCTGCCGTAGTAGCTCATGGTGTCAGGTGTAGTGAGTGGGTTTGCTGTTCAAGACAAGATCTTGAATATGAATGGCAGCTTGGACAGAGGATGCTTATATACCCTGGTCAGAGCATGATTTATCACATGTATAGCCTCCTGATTTATCACATGCGTACCTGATTTATCACGTGTATACCCTCCCTTTGTGTTATTCTTTGTATTACCTTTCATGTCACAACTCATCAATTTACTGTCTCCTGAGACTGAGAGGTCCTCACTCTCATTAAAATATTTCAGCTTACTTAATGTCCTATTTAGCTTGCCCACGAACTTATTGCTTTGCTTTTATGAGATGAAATAGCTGACTTTTCAAAATACGTACATTCCAAATGCTAAATAGAATTGCTTATTACCAGGTGTATTACATCATCTATATTTAATGGTATTCCTCCCATAATTAAAAATTTTCTCTGTTCTGTCAACCTCCAAATTGGTAACTTCATATCCAAATAAATGTATAGCTATTTTATTCAATTTACAGATCTTAAATCTACATTTTCTTAAAAAGCAAACCTATTTTCAAGGTGAGAGCTTAAAAAAGTGCCTATATTCAGAATATAGGAAAACATTCGAAATAAAAAAGGCTTAAATGACCTGCTGTGTACAATAGTCAAGGGACTCAGAAAATGAGAGCATATGTTGATATTTAGCATTCTCATCATAATAACCTTTATAGTATTTCTGACTTTAAGTACCAGCTTCGGAACCTTTTGATTGCAAAATAGGTAGCAATTAATTTCAGAAATGGAGAACACAAAATCCATCTCCTATGCAGACTTATCAGAATAGCAGTTCAGGTTTCATTCAAATCCTAAAACTCTCCTTCATAATTGATTCTACTCAAAGTCTCACCAAAATGGCAGATTACATCTGTCTCTGTTTTTGCACACTCCAGACAATGTCCTCCATTCTTTACCCTTCTTCAGTAATGTATATATGACCTCTATTTTCATTCTCATTTAAGCTTTCACTCTTCTTCCCATTCTCTCAATACCTACTAGGAACGGCCAGGTAGAAGATTGAAGTTGACAGTATTTTTCTCTCTCTGGCGTCCATTTACTTCTCCCAGTCATTGTGTCTTTGTTTCTGCCTTCTTTTCACTCTCACCATAGTGTCTTTCCCTTTGCTTTTTCATTTCTCATTTATCCGGAGGCAATTTCTAACTAGTCCTTAACTGGTAACTCATCTATTAATAGTTCACTAAAATACTATTTTTAAAATAATACACCATCTCCTAGGGCTTTCTGAAATGTTAAAAGGGTATTCTAAAACTGAGCTTGTCTTAAAGTTTTCAAAATGAAGGCACAATGATGAAATGACACAGAATAGAGAAATACATGAGGAAATTTGTCTTGGGCTTCTTGGAGTCCCTCAGGTCACTTCTTTGAGCTGGTCAACTGGATCCAACTTAACTCTACGTTTGTTAATGTCCATGTAGCACCTGTCTCTTGACTTGGACAACTAACAACTTACTGAATTTACAGGACTTTGAACAAGCTGCTGAGTTTTTGTGAGATTTATAATTATTTTATAAAGATAAATTTCCTAAATCGGATGTTTCATTTCTCTAAACAGCAACTAGGGAATTAAATATTCTTTATCGAACTAATGAAGAAATTCTAAGTAAATTGACAATAACTATCATAGCTTCCACAATCTGTGCAACACTGTGACTATTCTTTAGCAAGGTACCTTTATAAGGCAGAAAAAAATGGTGTAATATGCCTTTCAATTTATAGAGTAGGATTTAACCCAATATTTGCCATATTGCTTTTACTCAAATATTGTTTCATTCTTATTTCTCATCTGAACTGGAAATAGTTGGTAAGCTCAATTTTTAATTCTCAGTGAGTCCTTTTGAACACATAGAATCACAACTCGAACTGTCTTAAGAATATCACGTTTTGCCCATATAACTCAGCCAGGTAATTGGTAATGATCATATAACTCAGCCAGGTAATTGTTTGTTCAGGATGCATAAGGATGCATCCACCTGACATATAAAACCAAGGAAGACACACATGGAAAATCTCAATGGCCAAATAATAACCAGAATTTTTTTTAAGAAATAAAGCACGTGATAATTTTTCATACAAATAGTTAGTGATTGTTAGCTGTAAAAGATACCTATAAAAATACATAGATCTATATATTGTTCTATAAAAATATATGGAACAAATATCTTGTCTTCTTTTCCTAAGTGAAAAAAATAATAAGATGAAAATGTCCATTGTAAAATGAGGACAATATTTCCTTGTAGTGGCATTGGCTTTATGCCCCAAATAGATTGCTAGACCCAAAGTATATCAAACCCAAAGTAGATTGAACAATGATCTTTTTTTTTAATTTTCTCCTCCCTTTCACTTTCAAAAAGTTTACTTTAGAATATGTCTTGAATAACCCTATGATAATGAATAGGGAAGAAGAAAATGAGTTCTTCTTTGGAGTAATAACTTTCATCTGTAAATAAAGAAAACTTTTGTTATAAATTCCAAAATTTCCCTTAACACAGACACAAATCAATAATATATGAAAAGGCAGGCTATAAAAATATGTTAATATTGTATTACACTGGGAATGCCACACATACTTTT